TCCACTCACCTCGGCCTCCCAAAGCACGGGATTACAGGCTGAGCCACCGAGCCCGGCATGTATGTAGTCTTAAGAAATTGTTGGAGGCTTTGTGGGTAACGATGCCTTTGTGTGTGTATGTGTTGTTTATAAGCTTCTAGGAGAGAGTCCTATCCCATTAGATATAAGAAGTATTTCAGCCAGGCTCGGTGGCTCAGCCTATAATCCCAGCACTTTGGAAGGCTGAGGCGAGTGGATTGCCTGAGCGCGTGGGTTCGAGACCCACCTGGGCAACTTGATGAGACCTCGTTTCTACAGTAAATCAAAAATTAGCTGGCCATGATGGCGCACACCTGTTGTTCTGGCTACTTGGAAGGCTGAGGTGGAAGGATCACCAGAGCGCCCAGCAGGTCGAGGCACTCCAGTCTGGGCGGCAGAGTGAGACTCCAACTAAAAAAAAATTTTTTTTTTAAAAGAAGTATTTTAGTGCCTTCTGTGTAAATATTGGTGGTATCAAGAAAAATACTTTGTTTTAGGATAAATGTGTGAATGTAAAATTACAGTGAAAGGTACAGAAGGCTGGGAGCAGATGTATGTGCATGTGGCTATTTGGGTGGGTACTGGAAACAGCTAATTGTGGCAAGAATCACTTCCATTTGGCTTAGTGTATCTTTGTACAATTTCTTACTGCTTAGGGGAGAACTTATTCTTAAAGAAAGGTGTCTTCTGTTTCTGTTTTTACTTTTTAAGGACTCCCTTACAATAGTATGGCCCACCCAGAATTGTATGTCCAGGTCTCATGTCACCAGACACAAAAAATAGACTTTCAGCTTCTTGCTCCATTGCTGTTTTAAACTGTGTGTCTCATGCGACCTGACTTGCTGAGGCCACTCTTCAATGGATCGAAAGAGAGCCAGGAAAGACAGCAGGGGCCTCTGCCAGGGCTCATGCTAATAGAGATTAAGAGCAGGAGTTGGGCTTGGGAAATACATGTGTTTTTTAGGGCACTAGGTTTGGTTGGAGGAGGTGGATGGAGGTCACGGGGGAGGAAGAACCAAGGATTGCTGTGAGCAGCCAAGTGAATTGTACCGCTTTCACAGGAGTTAGCTCGTCCACCAGCTTTGACTTGATCTGTGTCCCAGAAAGGACCAAATGTAGACTCTGCTTTCTAGTTTTCATCCAGATGTTTCTGAATCTCTCTTCATCTCCTCAAAAGGAAGCCTCTGCCTGCTCTCAGGCAGAGCAAGGTCATAGCCTGTCTCTCTAGTTTCCAGGACCATGTGCCTCTACTGCTGGTGGTAGGTTTTGATGCTGCTGCTTCTGCATGATCATCTGTTCTCTCCAACTTGGCTGAATCCTGAAAGGGAAGGACAGAATAAGACCACACCCACGCTCCCCTCCCTCCTTAGTCACCTCTTCAGTGTTCATGTCAGGTGATTGCCCACATATAGCTTACATAATCACTAATCTAAAATGTACTACTATTTAACTTTTTGCAATCACACCTGTTAAAAAAAAATTATTGATGTAAAAGTCTGTATCATGGAAATTAAATCTCTACTCTCCATGTTCCTTTGTCACCCTGCACTGGCCAAGCATTCCATATTTTTTTCTTCCATGCTTTCCTATCATTAAGTAGTATTATTTTATTTCTAGAGCTTTAAAATAAGTTGAGTTCCTTCTGTGTCTGGATTTTCTTTGTGTGTTAACAAAGCTTGGTCATTCAGTTTGCTGATGTAGCTAAAAAATCTTTTTAAAGGTCACCTGTTAACATTGTAGTGTGAGCCTCTTGAAATTGGAAGAGGGTCAAATAGCCTATGTCCAGTTTAAAGCTGTATAGGGTATGTAGTTCTGATGGAGTCTGCCTGGTTTACAGTTAAATCAGATTTCTCGTTTATGGTGTCAGAATTTGTCAGTTGTGGTTCCATTCTGATGTTCTTGACAGCTATCTAGAAGTGTAAATCATCTTTATGGCAAGAGATGGCTCCTCCTTGACCTCCTGCACTTGTAGACAGTGGAAGCGTGAGTTGACAGGTATTTCGGATTTGACAGTGGTGAACCCTGAACACCATAAAGAAATTCCTGGATATGTGCTTTTTCAGGATCTTCTCATATATCCTTTTGATATCACAGTTTAATTGGAATCAGTGAACTGCTGTTTGGGTTTAGATTTCGTTGAAAATGAGATATTTGCATGAACTTGGCATGCACATGAGTTGTGATACTTGGTTGCTGCAGGAATGCTGCTCTTCAAGGTGTTAGAGCAGAGGGGAGATCAAGTGCACCGTTTCCTTCCTACCTTGGGAGTCAGTCCCCTAGGTTCTTGTTGGGTGTAATTTTCTGCTGAGATTCATTTTCCTTAATGTTTTCGTAGTGCTTGGCTTTCCAAAGCACTCTCAGGTTTGCTCTCCTCACAGCCTCAGGCCAGAGGGGTTAAGTGACTCCCCAGGAGCAGTCAGGTATCAACAAAGCCAGCCTGCTCTGTCCACACATTCCAAATCTTCCACATTACCAAAAGGTCCTGATAGGAGTGAATTTAGAAGAATGTAATCAGTATTCTTCCTACGAAATGTTTTGCTTTACTTAATAATGTACAAAAACCAAAGTTTCAGTTTGTGTGTTAAAATCATACCACCAGGTCACAACAAATTTATTTTATTTTATTATTATTATTTTGAGTTGAAGTCTCACTCTTGCGCCTAGGCTGGAGGACAGTGGCATGCTCATGGCCACCACAGCCTCAGCCTGCTGGGCTCAAGTGATCCTTCCACCTCAGCCTTCCAAGTAGCTGGAACTACAGACACACACCACCATGCCTGGCTGATTTTTTGATTTATTGTAGAGATGAGGGCTTGCCAAGTTGCCCAGGCTGGCCTTGAATCTGTGGGCTCAGGCAGTCCTCTCACCTTGGCCTCCCAAAGTGCTGGGATTATAGGCCTGAGTCACCACGCCTAGCCACACAACAGATTTATAAACCAAAGAAAATGAGGGTGAAGTTTTGTTTTAAAAGACAATTAGCCCTTTGCACTCAGATGTCCCTTCTAAGATGACATAAAGAGATTGCTGGTGATTATACAGGACAAACTTATGCCAGTGCAGATTTTTCAGAAATGTATGTTTCCTTGAAATTTTTCATTCAAATTACACAAAAAAGTAACTACAGACATGGAATATATACTGAGATATACGTTTAAAAAAAATTAACTAATGTTACATAGAAAGAGAAGTGCATTCACAGTGGTGCACAGACTGGACGATAAATTACATATTATTAATGTGGGAGGAAGATGATGAGACTGCATTGTCTGTTCAAATAGGAAAACAGGTGAAAGACGTCAAACAAATTACCATTGTACAGCATGCATCAATGAGCCTGCAATGCGTGTCAGTGCCTGTTTCACATGTTACCACACATTTGAAAATACATAAAATTTTGACTTTTCTGTCATAAATAAGTTCCTCAATGTCCAAAATTCCATTATAAGCCAAATATAATTACAGTAAAATAATTGGTTCCAGTGCTATACTGTATAGTATGAAGTGATTTGTTTTTCCCTGTTTCATAAAAAAGTGTGGTTGAGTTGCTGGCAGGTGATCCGCAAGATGACTCCAAGTATAAAGGGTTAAGAAAGGTCAGAATTGACGTTTTCTTTGAAAAAGATGGCAGCTTATGAATTCTTTCTCTGCAATGTGTGATTCTTTCTCAGCTTGAAGAAGAAAAAAGGAGACAGAAGATTGAAATGTGGGACAGCATGCAAGAAGGAAAAAGTTACAAAGGAAATGCAAAGAAGCCACAGGTGTGACTGGAGACTTTGTCTGGATGAAGATTGTTGAAGAGAATGTCCTAATTACTTCTTAACACCTGTGTATGTTCAAACAGGAAGAAGACAGTCCTGGACCTTCTACTTCATCTGTCATCCCAAAACGGAAATCTGACAGAAAGCCTCTGCGGGGAGGCGGTAAGCCCCCACTGATGGCAAACATTAACAGATTTTCAACACTTACTGCATATAAAAGGAAATAGATGCAGGTGCCTCCTAGGCCCTCACTAAGTAATTGGGATGACTGTGCTTGTATGCTAGTATTCCCACTTGATCCCACGAACGTCCTCTAAGGGGAGAGCTAAGGAATAGTGCCCATCTTGCAGACGAGTGTTAGAGGGACTAGAACACAGTGGTTTTGGCCTTTCTAGCCAGGGCCTTCGTGTTTCTTGCATCTTAACTTTCTCCGGGCCAGCTGGACAAATGTTCACTCGGAGCTTTTTCTGTGTGCAACACTAGAACTTTGTAGGGACCAATTCTAGGCCGAAGACTGTGTCCTCCACTGCAGGAGAGGGGCACAGCAGGGCCTGGAAACCTGATTGGCAAAACCTTTGAGGACTGAGGGGAAATGTGGCTCTAAGGAAACAGGGCCACAGACTTGGCTCACTTTAAAGGCTGAGCTCTAGTCCCCTTTGTGTCAGGAACCCAAATCTGGCTTGCTGTAGGGAAATGGTGCATTTAGAAAGAAAGTGCTGTTTTAAAGCTCTTGCTGGAAGCCTGTTTTCAGACACATAGTGGTGATATTTAAAAGTGGAGCTTACACCTATGATCCCAGTACTTGAGGAGGTGGAGGGGCAGAGGTGAGAGAGTTCCTGAATCTGTGGGTCAAGACCAGCCTGGGCAACATGGCAAGACCTCATCTTTACAGTATCCGATCAGAAAATTAGCTGGATGTGGTGGCGCATGTCTGTAGTTCCAGCTACTTGGAAAGCTGAGGCAGATGGATTGCCAGATTGCCTGAACCCAACAGGTCAAGGCTACGATGGCTGTGAGCGTGCCACTGCACCCCAGCCTGGATGACAGAGTGAGACTCCAAATAAAAAAAAAATGAATGAATAAACAAACAGAAGTGGAGTCATGCATGACATGCTTGTGTGCATGGCCTCTTTGAGTGTCTCCCGCAATCGTGAGCTGGGGCTTTGACTAGCCTTGTTTTACAGATAAGGAAACTGAGGCATAGGGATTCATTGCCCAAAGATTCCACTGGAAGTAAGGAGCAAAACCAACACATTTAAGTTCTGGCTGGCTCTAGAGCCTGAGCACTCAGTCAAGTCACCAATTGTCCATTGACTTTGGGAAGCTCACAGAGGAGAAGGAGGCAAGGACACAGCTGATCTATTTCTGACTTGTATAAATGGCATGTTCCATCATTTTTTGATTTTTAGAATCTGTTTTCTGTAGCTTGAACAGCCCTTGTTTGAATGTATATGTTTTGTTAAGCACTGTGAGAAAAGTGTTTGTATACTTAAATCAGGCCATCTTGAGAGGTTTTTTGGTGAATTTTTTGCATGTGTTTTGGGGAGTTAAAAACCAAGAAGCTGAATAGCGACTTTTTTTCCTCACTAGAGTTAGTTCAAATGATAATCACGATATAAAGTATTTTTTCATATGGTAGCTAAAAGTTTTTTTTTAATACTTATGCAAATAGAATCCTTACCTTTGTAGTGCTTTGCGTGTCAGTCTCATAATTTTTTTTTTTTATATAGAATGTTCCCAGAGTTTCAGATTGTTGTCAGTCAGTACTGTTCTCCTTTTTCTCATCCCAGGTTATAACCCTTTGTCTGGTGAAGGAGGTGGAACCTGCTCCTGGAGACCTGGACGCAGAGGCCCATCATCTGGTGGATGAGGCTAAGACTCTTGTTAGTGTCGCTTTTGACATTAGCAAGATGAATCCTTAACCCTCAATTCAATTGCCTTACGCATGCTTTTCACAGTGACTAGCCAGGTGAAGCCAGGGTTTATTTCTGTTCCCTGACTTACCTGCATATTTAAGGGCTTCAGTCAGCATAGGGTATAGACAGTGCCACTAGGCACTAGGTCATTGATCACATCCCACTTAGACAGTGATTGCATCCATTGATTTCATGGTTAATTGGTAGCTGGTAGGTAAAGGCCTCTAGATGATTAACAATCTTGGTAAAAGAGGCCTAGAAATGATCTTTTAAGTTAGAAGTCCTTGCTGATAGGACAGTCTCTGTGACAGGTTGCGTTGAATGATGTCTTCCTTATAAATGGTGAGCCCACCAGTGAGGATTACTGATGCAGACAGTTGATGGGGTTTATTTCTGTATATTTATTTTTATGTACAGAACTTTGTTAAAAAAAAAAAAAGAGACTGTAAATATTAAAAAAAAGTGAGTAACATTTTTAGCATCTGTATTAAATTCAAGAAAATTTCCTTATGAACTTGAATTTGTCTATCAAATATTAAACAGCTTACTCACAACTTCCAACTAATATTACTTATTTCTCTATTTATTATTCCTCACCTGAAATTAACATGGCAAGTGGCATACAGCTGCAGTGATTTTGAATGTCTGACTCTTTGGGGTTTTGCACTTGCAGGTTGGTTGCTGAATTACTAGGGTAAACAAACATCTTGCTTCAAGGTACCTTGTAGGCAGGCCAGGTTTCTAAGAGCCCTATACCTCATACCCCTTACACCATGACTCATTTGTTATATTCTTGTCTAAAGATTCATTTATTATATTCTTGTCTAGAGATTTTATCGGGTTTCCTATAAAGGGCCAGATGTAAATATTTTAGAGTCTGAGTCTCTGTCGTCTAGGTGTGCAGTGTCATGGCACGCTCACAGCTACTGCAGCCTCTACCTGCTGGGCTCAGGTGATCCTTCCAAGTAGCTGGAACCACAGGTGCATGCCACCACACCTGGTGGTTTTTACATTTTTTTAAGGAATTTTTTTTTTTTAAGTCAGGTGTCTCACTCTGTCACCCACCAGTAGTGGCCGTGGCACTGCAGCCTCCAGCTCCTAGACTCAGGCGTTCATTCCACCTCAGCCCCCTGAGTAGCTGGAACCATAGGTGAATGCCACCACACTTAGCTAATTTTTTTTTGTCTATTATTATTAATGTATTTTTTATTATTATTATTATTATTACTTTTTTTTTTTTTTTTGGTAGAGATGAGGTCTTGTTATGTTGGCCAATCTGTTCTCAAACTTCTGGACTTAAAACAATCCTCCTGCCACTACTTCCCAAAGTGCGGGGATTACAGGCATGAGCCACTATGCCCAGTGCAGAATTTTTTCTTTTATTGAGTCAGAGTCTCATTTTGTGCCCAGGCTGGAGTGCAGTGGCACACTCACAGCTACCACAGCCTCAACCTGCTGGATTCTGGCGAACCTTCCACCTCAGCTTTCCAAGCAGCTGACTGGAGGCGTGTGCCAACACACCCAGCTGATTTTTTTATTTATTGTAGAGATGAGGTCTCACCATATTGCCCAGGCTATCTCAAACTCATGGGCTCAGGCTGTCCTCTCACCTCAGACTCCCAGAGTGCTGGAATTATAGACATGAGCTACCACACCCGGCCAGGATTATTTTCTAAAAAGATTCTTTGCTCATCGACTGCATTTGACTGCATGCTGTAGTTTGTGAGCCCCTACTGTAGAGTCTCCATCGTGAAGAAGGTGCAGAATTAGCCTTCAGAATAGGGATAATTAGCTGGAACAGTATTCTGGAATGGTTTCATATATAAATTCACACTTTATTGAATATCTGATGCAGGTAGAGTATTCTGTGGTTGTCTCTTGCCATATAAAGGGGAAAATGAAGTCTGGTTTTGTGGGACTTAAAATCTGTTAGAGAAGGCGTGAGGGAGTGGAAATAGGACACTTGAGCAGTGCAGTTACAGAGTGGCATACGCAAGACTAAGTCTTTGAGTCTAGAGAGATTTTTGGTGTTTTTTGTTTTGTTTTTTTGAGTTGGAGTCTCACTCTGTCACCCAGGCTGGAGTGCAGTAGCACTCTCACGACTAGCGCAGCCTCGACCTGCTGGGCTCAGGCAATCCTTCCACCACAGCCTTCCAAGTAGTTGGAACTACAGGTGCACACTACCACACCCAGCTAATATTTTTATTTATTAGTAGAGGCGAGGTCTTGCCAGGTTGCCCAGGCTGACCTCAAACCCCTGGACTCAGGTAATCCTCTCACCTCGGCCTCCCAAAGCTCTGGGATTACAGGCTTGAGCCACCACGCCCGGCAAAATTTTTGTTTTATTTGACTGTGGAAAAAACTGGGGTCTTAGGGCAGAAGCAGGTCAGTGGAAACAAGGGTAGGCCTTGTGAGGTATAGGGAAGCCCTGGACCCCCTAGTCCACTTTCCAGATTTTAACTGGGTTGGCTTCCAACCAGTATGGAAGATTTACAAGGAACATTTATACCTACATTAAAGTATTTCATCCATATTTATTTACATCTAAAGAGATTCCCTTGTAGCATATAAAGACTCTTTTAAATAATTATGCCTTCAATATATTTTCTGTAGCAAAACTCATGTAAAGTGGCTCTCAATGATAAGCTTTTTAGTAGCGGGGTCCTAGATGGGGCCTTGTGTAGCAGAGCAGTTCCCTGGCTAAAGTCTATTACAGGTCAGCCCTCGACACAAGGTTTGTAATAAATATAAGGGAACTAAATAAAGATAGAAAGAGGGGCATGTTTTAGTATGCTATTAGATGTGACTGCTTACCTTCAAGTCTCACTTTTTCCATAAATTCAGGAATTATCAGGGCATGAGCATGGGAAAAAACCATGCCGGAATTCTGAATGTCCCCCTTGCATCTTGCACTTTCTTGTGGTGGAAGGCTAGTGTCATATGGAGAATTGATCAGATAATGGAGGGGAGAGGGAAACTTTCATTAGTTAGCATTTGAAGAGCACTTTCCATGTGGCAGGTACATACTTTTGTATTTAATCCCCACTCAGATCCTTGGTTTTCAGAAACTGAAGTACAGAGGGGTTTAGTAACTAGTCCAAGCCCCTAATCACTATAGTCTACATGGTCCTGGTTCCTGCCTGCCGGGAGCCTTAGGTAATCAAGTTGTGGGGAGTAGTCTAGCTAATGAAGCAATTGCCATGTGGAATAATGATGAATTAGGTGAAGACTGGTACAGATCTGTAGGGCAGTAAGCATTTCGGAAGGGTGGACTGAGGTTGCCAGGGAAGGTAGGTCTTGCCCATTTCTTGAAATAATGAGGAATTAGGGGCAGAAGCAAAAAGGCCAGAACCTAAGGCTCCTGGGGAAGAAGGGACCAGGCCAGAGCCATAAAAACTTTTTTTTTTACCTTTGAGTCGGAGTCTCACTCTGTTGCCCAGTCTGGAGTTCAGTAGCATGCTCATGGCCACCACAGCCTCGACCTGCTGGGCTCAGATGCTCCTTCCACATCAGTCTTCCACGTAGCTGGAACTACAGGCATTACCACCATGCCCAGCTAATTTTTTTATTTTTGTAGAGGTGAGGTCTTGCCAAGTTGCCCAGGCTGGTCTCAAACCTGTGGGCTCAGGCAATCCTCTCACCTTGGCCTCCCAAAGAGCTGGGATTATAGGCATGAGGCACCATACCCAGCCCATAAAAGCATTTTAAACCTAGGCCATACATTCTGCCCTGTCTGCATCAGAGGCTACAAGATGCTGAGCTTGGAACTGATGTGGTAGACACTTGGGAGCTGTTAACCTTTTTTTGTTTGTTTGTTTTAATCAGGGTCTCTCTGTCACCCAGGCTGGAGTACAGTGGCACACCCATAGCTACCGCAGCCTTGACCTGCTGGGGTCAGGTGATTCTTCCGCCTCAGTCTTCCAAGTAACTGAGACTATATGTGTGCCACCACGCCTGGCTAATTTTTTTTACTTATTGTGGAGACATTTCACTAAGTTGCCCGGGCTGGTCACAAACTCCTGGGCTAGGCATCCTCTCTCCTTGACCTCCCAAAGAGTTGGGATTACAGATGTAAGCCAGTGCACCTGACTAGGAGCTTTTAAGTTTAAATGATGTATGTGTGGCCTTTCCATCCTAGTCATGGAGCAATATTAGTAAATTGTTGGGTAGAATACACACAAAACTTCAGTTGAAATGTTTAGTGGATAGAGCTGTCCTTGACCAAATGCTTGGGGAGAGAGATTGAGCTGTCATGCTTGGATCCCATACTTTCTCTCAGGGACTCCTTGCTCTCCCTCTACTTCTCCCTTCCCTCGTGCCAACTCCACTGGTTCCCTCTAGCCAAATACTCAAACATGCTACGTCTTTCTCATAAAGAGCAAGGCCTTGTCAGTAAGCAGAGTCCTGGTTTCCCCTGGTGCTCCCTGCAGAGTAAGCTTTGAGTGAACATTTTCTGTCCTCTACGTCAGCTGGAGGCCTTGGTCTCCTCTTACTTGACTTAATAGTGCATTTTCTACATGCCCCTCCTTGCTGCCCTCCTCCTCTCACCATCTAAACCTCCGCACTCTGGTTTTTCCCCCATGACTGCCCATACCTCTCTACTTTGCCAGGTGCCATGGTCTCTAGTCTTCCTGAGAAAGTTTTCTATATTCTCCCCAGTTTCTCCTCCGTTTGCTGTTACATCTGTTCTAAAGCTATTCTTGGTCACCTGGGTAGTAAGTCTGATGGATCATCTCAATACTCAAGTGAGCATCCTTTGTAATAATTGAGCACTCTTTTAAAGACAAGATGCACTGGCTTCTGGAATGCCAAGCTTGCCTGATTTTCTCCTTCCTTTCTGGCTACTTCTCAGTGTCTTTTCTTGTTTGTTTGTTTTTTGTTTTTGAGTCAAAGTCTCACTCTGATACCCAGGCTGGAGTGCAGTGACACACTTATGGCTACTGCAACCTCGACCTGCTGGGCTCTAGCAATCCTTCTACCTCAGCCTTTCAAATAACTGGAACCACGCTTGGCTAATTTTTTGATTTATTGTGTTTTTTTTGTTGTTGTTTTGTTTTTGAATTGGAGTCTCACTCTGTCACCCAAGCTGGAGGACAGTGACATGCTCATGGCTACCATAGCCTGGACCTAGTGTGCTCAGGCGATCCTTCTGCCTCAGTTGTCCAAGTAGCTAGAACTATAGTCACATGCCACCACACCTGGCTAATATTTCTTGATTTGTTGTAGAGATGAGATCTCCTCAAGTTACCCAGGCTGGTCTCGAACCCATGGGCTCAAGCAATCCTCTCACCTTGGCTTCCCAAAGTGCTGGGATTCTCAGTGTGAGCCACTGCTTCTGGCCCTGATTTATTGTAGAGATGAAGTCTCGCCAAATTACCCAGGCTTGTCTCAAACCTCTGGCATCAGGCAATCCTCTTGCCTCCACCTTCCAAATTGCGGGGATTATAGGCATGAGCCACTGCACCTGGCCCTCTTCTGTCTCTTGCTGCTTTTTCCTTCACTTTGCTGACTTCTAACCCCTGAGATGACTCTGAGCTCAGTCTTTGGACCTGTTCTCTTTTCTA